CCAAGTCACTCCCAATACCTCTTGCTCCCCCCCCTGCAACACTCTGACCAGATGTAACAAATTTCTTTAAGTTAAATCCTCCTGTAGATAACATAGCTCGAAATTTTCAACAGAACTCTCAGCACTCTCTGTCCCACACACAACATCATCAACATAAACAGATTGCAAAAGTCTTTCCAACATTAGGTCTCGCTTCCTTATAATTCTCAATATGATAACGCATCATGGCATTCAGCAAAAATGGGCTCACAGTCACTCCAAAAGTCACTCTTTTGAAACGTAATACCTGAATTTCTACAGGCTCTTGATATGGATCGGTGACCCACAAAAATCTTAATACATCTCTATCACACTTGTTCACACCGATCATCAGAAAGGCCTTCTCAACATCAGCAATAAATCCATTTCTATGTACTCTAAATCTCACTAAAATCTCAAATATTTTTTGATTGAACTTTGGCCCAACATGTAGACACTCATTAAGCTACAAACTGTTACTCTTCATGGAAGCATCGTAAACAATACGCAATTTCGTGGTCCACTTATCGTGTCGCACTACTCCATGATGTGGCAAATAGTGTACCCACTCTCCTTCAACTAATGTTGGATCTTCTACTACTTCCACAATCCCATTATCTATTTGATCTTTAATGGACTGGTTGTACTCTCTCAACAGCTCTGGATTACGCCTCAATCTCTTCAACAGACCCTTCAATCGACACAAACTCAACTCATAATTATCAGGCAGATTTATTGCATTGTCTTTTCATTGCAAAGTAACTTCATACCGAGTACCATCAAAGGAAATGTGATCCTTAAACTGATCATAAAGTGACATCTCTGGTTCCACAACACCTAATGCTTCTAACTCCCAAAAACCCCAAGCTGCTTCTCTAATTTGGACTTATCCTCAGCAATTTTAACTCCAGTAGTAAGAGTATGCGTCATAAGTGCGATTCAGCTACTATTTGTCCAGGCAGAATCCAACCCAATCATGAATGAACTGCTGTAGGACCAGTACTGCTTCTGACTACTTCTCCTTTGATAATATCCCAGTAATGGTCTAGTCCTATTAGCACGTCAAATTCAATCAATTCACTACCGCTCGTGTAATCCGCTAGCTCAATATCACACAAATGCTCATACTGATTCAAGTCTGTATTAGGTGTACAATTAATAGGCTCACAAATCTTCGGTACAGTGAAAAAACTAAGTAATACTTCTCCGCCATCTTTCATCTTCACAGCAGCCTTGACTACATCACACACTTGTGATTTACTGCGTTTAGCCGCAAACGTTGAAATAAATAACTCTTTGCGCCCGCATGCTGTAAGTGGCAGTCTCTCTCTCGCCTGTCGCGTAATAAATGATCGCTGGCTTCCACTATCAAAAATAAATGTCAACACTGAATGATGTGGACTGTCTGGATTGCACACTGTTGCTCTTGCAGTCTGTAAAAGAATCTGTTCACTTGCATCAGTCAAAAATGTTGTAGTCTTAAAAGGAGTTGCTGTTGGGTTAGCGAACTGGCATCCTCTTCTCTACATCCTTCTTCTCACTACTACCATTCTTAAAACAAACACTGCTGTGGTGTTGGCCATTACAATACCTACATCTACTGCTAGATCTACGACCCCTGCTAAGATGACCTTGCTTAGTACAAACAAAAAAACGCCCAGCATCTCTCAAAAGCTGTTTTCTCTCATCAACCTTAGTCACCTTAGAACGCTCATCTGCATTGTGAGCTCCCTTACAATAAATAATGCTCCCAACTGGATTAAAAAATGCTGATGTGGTTGGTGGTACATGTGAGCGCTTCTGATTGGCATGCCTGTATTCCTTGCTCTTGGCTTGCCTACTATGATTATCACCGCCACTCGCGTCATACGTACGTTCCCGTGCCTTCAACTCAACACTCAACTCACTCATTATCTTACTCAAACTCCATTCATCCTCAGGGATCTTACGACTAATAGACAATACAACTTCCCTAGGAAGCTTCTTCACAATCAGAGGAGGTAATAAACAATTGTATGCTTCCTCCGACACCCCAAAGATCTTAGCTCTCTTGTATGGCACTCCACTTTGTCATACAAAACTCTCAAATTACTGTTCGTGACAACTAAACCCTAAACCAACTAACTCTTCCATATGCTTGGATATAATCTTCTCCTTGTTCCCAAATTGATCGTTCAAAACCTTGATTGCTTCGTCATAGTTAGCATCAGTTAGTGTCAATCCGGCAATGGCATCTTTAGCTAAATGACTAACTAAAGTACGCAAGTGTGAATTTCTGTACCAGTGAAAGACTATCATTACAGTGCACTGCTACATTATAAAGATCCCAAAAGGTCAACCACTCAGTTAGATTACCCTTAAACACTGGTAATTTTAATTTCGGTAGCTTAGTTTTGCTGGTCACTGCATCGCTAGAGGCTGTCGTGCTACGGTCTTTACTCACTCAACTCACACTTCTCAACTGTACTTCAATTTTAGCTAAACTCTTGGGTCACTTACACTTTACCGGCCCCAAGCAGATCCGCCATTTTAAGGCTATGACGTCACCGATTACATCACAAATGGACGCCCCACAATAGCCTGAGCTAAGAGGATGCTATATAAGGCTTGCCTCGTATGGAGGGGGTGGGGTGGAGCTGGCTCAAACGTGGACACCTCCTATATAAATGTTATATATATGTTATTAATGATTTTAATAAGAAATATTATTGTAAAATAAATATATTTGAAAGTGAAAACTGTAAAAAATGACATAAATATTGAAGCAGCAATTAGAGGATCATCATTTGCTTCCGAGCACCTAAAAAACTAAACACTAAACCCTAACCCCTAAACCCTAAACCCTCACAGCCTACTTGATTTTTTGTGCATTTTATGAAAATTTGTATAATATAGAATGAGATCTTGTGAAAAAGAAGTGTCCTTTGCCAGCCTCATTCTCTCATTACAGCACTTAGGACAGTCATGATTAGTAAAGTCTCCTAGCACCCCTTTCCTTCACAGCCATTTGCATATCTCTTCTTTTGGCTTGCTGCATATAGCATAAATGTAATCTAGTACAATTCCAGTGGTTAGAATGGAAATGGTCGCCATTTTGCCTTTGGATCACGTGATGATGATTGGCATCTGGTGCTTGTGACGTATGTAACCACATCCTGTATGTGACGCAAACACAGTAAAATGGCGAATTTGATTGGGGCCGGTAAAGTGTAATCTACCCAGAAGCTCCAATATTTCATCAAGTTTCTTCAAGACTGAGTGCTTCTCATTCACATAAAGTCTCAGCTGCTCCAACTTGACTGGATCCACATCTGCTGCCATCAGGATGTCCTTAGCTTCCTCCAGTCTACCAACAAGAACATACCAGAAACCGCACCTTTTCCCTTCCTTCCGCCGTAGCCCTTCCGCCATTTTGCCACGTGTCAATTATTACAACAAAAAATTTATTATCTCAACAACTGACAACAAAGCTCTATGAACACACACGAAGGCACTACCAACTACTCAGGTATGTGTACTGATACAAACCTGTAGCGCCGCTGTGTCTTGTTGCCCTAAAATTACAAAATTCACAACTGTCAGGCTCCTGTTCCGTCAAACACGCACTATCCAGGTCCTATCAATCTCAATCCGGCTCGGGTGACCAAATATTGATTATCTGGTCGGTACTTTTTAGGAGATGTATGGCTAAATATCAGGATTGGAGCGGATTTAACAAGAGTACAAGACTCACAACAAAACTTCTCTTCCATAAAATGGCAGGCTCAATTGAGTACTGCGCATGCTCACAAAAAATGAATAATTAATGAAATGAATAATGAAACAAGTAAATAAAAAACATTAAAAATGAAAAAGTAGTAGGATTTAATTAGAAAAAAGTAAAGAAGCAAGAGGGTAGTGCAAAC